ACTGCTACTGCTACTGCTGCTGCTGCTGCTGCTGCTGCTGCTGCTGCTGCTACTGCTACTGCTACTCCTACGACTACTACTACTACTACTACTACTACTACTACTACTACTACTAATACTAACTACTAACTACTAACTACTAACTACTTACTACTTACTACTTACTACTTACTACTTACTACTTACTACTTACTACTTACTACTTACTACTAACTACTAACTACTACTACTACTACTACTACTACTACTACTACTACTGCTACTGCTACTACGATGACGACGCCGACGACGGGCACACGCCATGTCATGCACGATGATGTGCTCAAAACCGTTCTTAGCCCCAGGCAAAGGCAAACATATCCGCCGACTAAGGCGGGGCGGCACTCAGAAGTTGTGTTCTGCTGGCTTGGTTGTTGACTAGACGCCACGCTGCCTCGCCTGGCCTTGCTTTTTTGGTATAGTTGAATCATTTATTCCCCCCCTCTAGACGCCACGCTGCCTCGCCTGGCCTTGGTTTTGTGGTTTTGTTGAGTAGTTTAATTCCACTCCAATGCAGCTGCCTAGTTGAATAAGTCTATTCCACTCCGATGCAGGCCCAACCCCAAACACCTCCAAAACCCACGTTCCCCCCCACCGCGCCACACCCACGCTGCCTGGCCTTGGCCTGCTTTCCCCCCCTCTCGCCGCCGCGCTGCCTCGCCTGGCCTTGCTTGTGTGGTATAGCTGCGTAGGGAAATTCCATTCCAGGGCAGGCCCAACCCGCCTGGCTTTGGCCTTGCTTTCCCCTTAATGCAGGCCCATCCCCAAACTCTCCAAAACCCAGTTTCGCCCCCCCGGCCCTCCGCGCTGCCTCGCCTTTGCTTTGCGTCCCTCCAGCCGCCACGCTGTTTCGCCCAGCCTTGCTTATGCAGGCCCAAACCCACCCTAACCCCTCCAAAACCCACTCTCCCCCCACCGCCTGCCACACCCGCCCCACGGCTGCCTGGCCTTGGCCTTGCTTTAAATCCCCCCCTCTAGCCGCCACACTGCCTCGCCTGGCCTTGCTTTTGTGGTGCTGAGTAAGCTGTGAGTAAGGAAATTCCATTCCAACGCAGGCCTAACCCCCCCAATCCCCAAACCTCCAAAACCCTTTTCCCCCCCACCGCCCGCCACGCCCGCCCCAGGTCCCCTCCATGCTGCTTCCCCCTGCCCTTCCATCTCTGGCCAGCATCATGAGCATGCGCGCGCGCGCCCCGTCCCGCTTGGTCCCTACCCCTGCCGCCTTCCTGGCCAGCATCATTGCACGCACGCCGCCCAGGTGTCGCCCGCAGATGCCCCAAAACACGCCATACCGTGGGGAATGGCCGCAAAACGTGTGCGTTGCCGGGTAAGCCTCGCAACCAGGCCCCGCGCGGCCCGATGGAGAAACGAGGGTCCCATGATGCAAGGGGCATTGCCTCTCAAGCCAGGGCCATGGCCGCGGTGTTGTTGGATATTGTTTTAATTCCACTCCAATGCAGGCCCAACCCCGCCAAACCCTCCAAGCTGCCTCGCCTTGGCCTTGGTTTCCCCCCTCCCTTTGCTTGTGTGCTGTAGTTGAGTAACTTAATTCCACTCCAATGCAGGTCTACCCCCCCAAACCCCTCCAACACCCACTTTCGCACGCCACGCCGGCCCCCGGCCCTAAACGCTGCCTCGCCTTGGCCCCTTGCTTTCCCCACCTAATTTCGAACTTGTTTGCGTAATTTTGGGGTTGCCATGGGTAGCCCCACCAAAGGGCGCGCATCATGAGCATCAGCGGCCCCAGTCCGGGACCCGGGGCGCGCATCATCAGCATCAGTGGGGGCCCCGCAGAGGGGGCCAGAAGGCCCCCCCCATCCTTGTCAAATGTTGTTCTAGATGGTGTGCGGTTTGAAGCTCAAGTTTATGTCGGTTTGTCCAGGCTGCTACCTGCGCTGC